TACAACATATATAATTTTTCCTTGTTGACAGAAATACAAAACAGGTATTAAAGAAGAAACAACCACCTACCTTCTCCAAACATGTACATCAGTTTCTAGTGCAAAAAGCAAGTCTGTCAGGAGCCGCTGGTGCATGGGAGACCATTTAAACTCTGGAATACGAAACATAGTTGTGCGTGGACCTGGACTAAACTGTCGTCGCTGCTCTTCCGTCATCGGCATTCAAAAAAAAATCAACACGTAAATCCCGGTCTTGCTGGGTGACAGATCTACCCTGTACTGCCTACATCAACAAGAAGTTCAAAAATCATGTTAAGTTTTTGCAATGTGTTTTTGAAAGGATTGCAGAATTTGAGAAAGGATAAGCTAAAACTGGACTCGAGCACAAACTATAGGAGACATTGATATTCCAAGGCAGGCGTATCCTTCAGTAAAGGACCTGCTCCAATTCAAATCAATCAATAGTGATGGGCTATAGCTGGCTTTCCTTTCAGCTATTCACCAATGTTCTACACTCAGGTTCTTCACTTGATGTATTACAGAAAAGACCAAATGCAGCACGTACAGGGTCAGTTGTGATAAGACTGTGTATAGGAAAAAACTATTATTTATTCTGATCACGCATTTTTTTTTAAATATTTGACTCAAGACATGGACAAACTACAGGGATGGCTTCAAGGAACGAGTGTACTTACTTTCAGACAGTTGTTCATTTTACAAAACCAATTTATTTATTTGGTCTTTTTTAGCAGCATCATTAGAGAATCAAATCTAGTATCTCAAATCTCAGTTTGCCAATTTTGTTACGCTTTGTTAATTGGCTAACACTTTTATGGATTCTCAGGACATTCTTTAGGTTCTCCCAACAGGTGATGGATGCGAATTTCATTCCCTTTTAATACCTACATAGTCATAACCGTTTCCACTTGGTGATTAAAGACAAAAGTAAAAGATACACATAGAGGATATGATGGGGAATACTGGGATGGAAAAAGTAGTAAAGTACAATTTGACCAAATCTGAGGCAAATATTCATAACAACAAAATTATTCATAATATGCAACATCTCAGAAAGGAAGAAATACGAAGTTGGATCCTTGAAATTATTTTAAACTGACTTTAGATTACATTTAAACTGAAAAAAAAAAGAGAAAATGTGCTTGCTTTGCTCACATATTCATCTCCTGATCTCAGCATACTGTTTTAAATCTGGACATTTAAGAGCAAACAGACACTTATGAAATATTTGTACTAGCAATGTAGAAATGGAAACAGCATTGGATTTGAGCTGGAAAGCTTCTTAGATCTTTAGTCTCATTTTGATCTTCCATAGCCAGTATTTCAAGAGAAGAGTATTTTTCTTTTGTCCAATTTGACCTACCAGTATCAAAATTATTACTGTTGCTTTCATTTCCTAAGTTGTTCTTCAAATTATCTTTTATAAATATCTATATTTATATCTTTTATAAAATATCTATAAGTATTTTCTTGTTTTCTTGGACTTATCTTAGATTTGAACTCTTTGAAAGAATCTTCTGCAGTGGGTTTTCAATTCTATTTTCAGTTTTTCATAATTGACATCAAAGCTAGTTTTATACTTTTCAATATTTGATTGACTATTGATAAAGGCATTAACTCTTCTTAGAAGTAAGCAGGAGTTCCCATCTCTACTTTGATGTACAATTTGATGCTTCCTTTCAGTCTATCTGAAAAAAAGACAGCTTACTTCTTACTGATAAGGTGGAGAGCTGATTGCAGATCTATTTTTTTGAGAATTTGAGGTTAGTAACCCCATTCATATACCACTTGTTCCCTTTTGGGTACAACTATAGGCAGTTGTCATGTCAGCAGCAGTTATAACCGTACCATAACAGGATAGCTTTTATCTAGCCAATAATATTGTGTTTGCAAGAATCAGCTTTGATGTGCTTTGCATAAACCACTATGAAACCCAACTATCTACACTTGAGTGGCCAGTCTTTAAGTCACTTCGTTTGTTTTCAGTGGTTTCAAAGAGATCAAATCTAACGTGGCAGTTCCTACACATGCTGCAATCAAAACTCCAACCTCTATCTCCCCGGTAGATATGCTAATTTTATAATTTCTCTTTACTTCATGAAAATTATAATCCTTGATTTATGTTTTATTTAATATACATTTCTATCCTTTTTTATTACTGGTAACTTCATTTAAAAAGAAAAGATTTAACTATGAATCATAGAATAGTTTAGGTTGGAAGGCACCCTAAAGATCATCCAGTTCCAATCCCCTGCCATGGGCAGGGACACCTTCCAATAAATCAGGTTGCTCAAAGCCTCATCCAGCCTGGCCTGGAAAGTTTACAATTCATGAGGTATTCCAAAACACCCAAAGAAAAGATTGGAAGGTAACAACAATTCTGCTGGTTGCACGGTTGATACTTCTTGAAAAGAAAATTATTTAAAAGAGACACTAATGGCTACAGACTTCAATCAATTCATTGCAGTTTAGCACTGACTTTAGTGAGAATTACTGTAATTTAAGTAGTATATGGAGAATCAAGGGAGTTAAACAACTTGTAGAGTCAGACTCTTGAAGAGTACACAGTTTGTAGATAATTTGTAGATCCAAATGATCTGTTAAGAGTTTTGTGAGTAGCTTAGTGTAAAACATTTGGAAAATCTTTTGTTTCTCCTATCTTAGATGATGTGATAAAAGTTTATTAAAATTTACGTATCATTTTAATCCTAGTAAATAATTACAGGATTGGAGAATTTACATTTTTATAATTCAACTGTTAGAGGTGAAATTCATCAAGGAAAGAGGTTAAAGAACAGAAAGACTCAAAGTCACACCAATAGGATTTTCTACAGTAGCTAGTTTATCTTTTTCATTAAAGATTTATCTTACAAATTCACTATGTTTATGGGTGCATATACATGTACATGACAAATGAATACTAGCATTTCACTTGTCTTTTACAACAAAAATCCACATTTCAATATAAAAAATGACTGCTCCTTTTTCATGTTATCCTCCATTCCTTCCCATTTATCAGTTTCCATAGTATTAACAGTCTTAAATTTAAGACTTAAAATAAGGTGTTTTGAAACTGATAGCAATAGATACACAAATCCTATCGAGAGCTTGCAGGGCCTGTTCTTTATTACATAGAATGCTTTTAAATATAAGGATCTCTCCACGATGGTTGATAGTCTGTCACTGACGTTACGAGGGTTTTCACAGTTTTGAAAAATGCTTACAAGAGAACCCCAAACTTCTTATAATATCTGTCTGGAGAATGCAAGAGCTCAATCTGCTTTTCTCTTTAAAACAGAGGTTCTTAGTATAGAGGAGAGACTTAGAAGAGAGTATTATTTGTCTGTGTCAGAACCCACTGGTATGAGTAACTGGGTTTTAATTTATTTTTTTTTTAAAGAAAAGTAACTTTTTTTGAAACCACAGACTGTTTAAATAAATTAAAATGTCAATTCACTGGAGTTTTTCTGAAAGTACTGTCTCCCTGAAGAAGAAAGTGGGCAGGCTTTTATCAGATGTGCTCTTTTATCAGATGACACGCACTTTGAGTGTACTTCAGTTTGTATCTGAAAGTCTTTCTTCTGATGATTTGGTACACACTGCAGAGCACTAGACAGAGCACTTTTTGCAATTTTTGTTTGGCTCTTCTGCCATAGTTTCAGGAATTCTGCTTGACTTTAAAATCCTAGAAGATAAATACTGGTGTACATACTGAACATACAGTCATCTAGTAAAATCTGGAAGTTAGTCAATTCCTGATAACAACCTTAAAAACGATCTTTGATTATGTGCTACAGTCTCTGAACAATGTAAGTGAGGAAATGAATTCTGTGCTTTAAAAGTTCAAAGTGATCCCATATTTTGCTGTGTGTAAAGAGTACAAATTCTTTCACAGAATAGACTTTTGCCATGGCCATCCCATTTTCAGAATGCTATGGCTCTCACAAACCCACTAATTTTTCAGAATTCTTCACAAAGAGACCTAGACAAGAAAGGACTTCACAGAAGAAAGTAGATACTCCTTCTTTTATTAATTATCTCTGGTCTGGAAATCAAATCACAGAATCACAGAATGTTAGGGATTGGAAGGGACCTCGAAGGATCATCTAGTCCAATCCCTCTGCCTGAACAGGACCACCTAGATCAGATCACACAAGAACATGTCCAGGCAAGTTTTGAACATCTCCAGAGAAGGAGACTCCACAACCTCTCTGGGCAGCCTGTTCCAGTGTTCTGTTACCCTTACTGGGAAGAAGTTCTTCCTCATGTTTAAGAGGAACCTCCTATGTTCCAGCTTATATCCATTTCCCCTTGTCCTATCATTGGATGCCACTGAGAAGAGCCTGGTTCCATCCTCATGACAGTCACCCTTTACATATTTATAAACATTAATGAGGTCCCCCCTCAGTCTCCTCTTCTCCAGGCTAAAGAGACCCAGCTCCCTCAGCCTTTCCTCATAAGGGAGATGCTCCACTCCCTTAATCATCTTTGTGGCCCTGCACTGGACTCTCTCAAGCAGTTCCTTGCCCTTTTTGAACTGAGGGGCCCAGAACTGGACACAATATTCCAGATGCGGCCTCACCAGGGCAGAGTAGAGAGGGAGGAGAACAAATCACAGTTTTTCTTCTATTATCCCTAAACTATTACTTTTCTTTTGTTAGGATCAAATATGGAGATTATTTATGCCAGTATTCCTGTACAGGCAAAAAGACAGTAGGCCCAAGTGCTATCAGACTACACTCTGAGAAAGGTACAGCAAGAGTAAAGAACACTTTAGTGTATATTTCATAGTAAAATATAGATATTACTAATCTTAACACATACTATCAAGACAGTCTAAAGCAGAATTTTAAGAGTATCGGTTAATCTGTTCACAAGAGCTAAGGACAATGGATGAGAGACTCTCTTAGCTAAGTTTTTTTTTAAACTGAAGCATCCACAATTGCAATATATATTTTCTATACAGACATGAAAGACTCCACAATCCTTACATGTTATGGCATTTTCAAAGCAAGTAGGCTTGGAGGATGGACACCTTTCATATAATTAAAAAAATACACTTCAAACATCTCTCAGATCTCATACTATTAATTTATCCAGCAGCAATGAACAGTGATTACATCAGACACGTACATGGCTACAGCACTTGAAACTTACCTGGGTTGTCGTAGTTGTCTGGATCTTCCGTATCTCCTTTCCTGCTTCCTTACCATCATCAGATCTTTCTGTATCTGATATTATACTTCCTGCATCAACACTAGGTACAGTTTTGGTACCAGAAGACTCTGTCTCAAGAGTTGTGGCAGTCATTTCAGCATATTCTAATCCTTTAGATGATGAAGCCAACTCCCTCTCAGAAATGCTACTCATTCCATCTGAAGTTGTGTGAATCTTGAATTCCTTGTCCTCTATTATACTTGAAGCACACGTAATATCTACACTACCTGTCATATGTGCAAGCAATCCCAAATCATCATTTACACCAAGATGCATCTGTGTTTCTTGCACATTTGCAATAGAAATGTGATTACTTGAAAGTTCAGGTAGAAGTTTCTCCTCTTGACTAGGTATTTTATCAAAGAGAAATGAGGTACTGTTAGTAGAAGGTTCATCTTTCTCATCAGCCAGAGTTATTAATGGACCATTATCTTTTTCCTCGTTCTTCTTAATAATACCCACACTTCCATGAACATTGTTTTGGAGCTTCTCAACAGCAGCGCTATATACATTATCTAGAAGGGATTCGACTTCTACAAGTGCACCATTTTCTCCAGTTACCAGTGTCTCTGGTGATAAATCCATATCATCAAGTTTTACTTCTGTAGCTTCTACCTTTTCAGCTTTTATATCAACCAAAAGGTCATGAACTTCTACATGCACTCCTCCTCCTGGTCTCTCAGCACTTCCAAGCACATCATCTGACACCTTTGTAGCCATAAGCAAGTCCCTCGTATCTGTACTGACAGGGTAATCCGTTTCACTTTCTGGACTTTGACTTTGCGAAAGGTCTTCTATCTCTCGAATTTCCATTCCACCTTTTGCTCCTGTTGTCTGAGAGGAAAGACCTGAGATAGTGCTCACGTTCCCCTTCTTGCCCTTTTTTATGTTTTCTTCCTCCTGCCTTTGATACTCTTCATACATTTTTGCTAGGTACTCCTTGTGAGCCTCATATGTGACCTTACAAAGAAAAAAACAGATTATGTGGATGAATATATGCTACATGAACCTGGACAAAAGCTAACAAGAATCTTAACAACATGTTACACGCAGATTACAAATCGTTTCACATCAAAGGACCCACAACGATGACAAAAAATGGCCACCTTGACATGTATGGAGATAGCCACCAGATGGCACTAAATCACTTTACAACTTCTCTCATTCTCTTGCTAGTCCCTTTGGGGTAGCTGCCAGTATTAAAAAAAAACATCCACGAGCCATTTCTTACCTTGGAATGAGCTATAGAAAGAGTATCCACCCACACTCTCCAGCCTCCCCATTCATATTTTATTGCATGATACAAGAGAATACGGAAAATGTTGTAAACCATCTCAGTGATCTTCTGCTCTTCAGAGTTCTTAGGGTTGATGTATCCCAGAGAAAACATCCAGTCCTGCCACACTGAACACTGAAGTAAACATCTAAAGTGAAATAATTAGGTCAAAATATATCCAAACAAAGCTTCTTTATTTTAACATTATGATGGTTAAAATAGGAGGAAAATCTCTGAATATCAATCCCATGGTAGGAAGAAACAAAAATACTTCAGGATGAGCAAAAATTTGAAGCATATTCTAACCAGAAGAATCCAATATTAGTTGCTGAACTAAGAAAAGTTAGTGCAGACCTATTCCATTTATTTTTTATATATTCCACATAATATACAGAATAAAACTACACAGAGTATAACAGATTGCTATTACCCGCAAGCCAAGGACAAGAGAATATTTTTTGTAGGGACATACCTTCTGTTTTCACGGCTATTACTAAAGAGTTTTATCATATCAGATAAGAACAAACGTCGAACTTCCATCAGCTCTGCACTTGGTGTGGAGTTTTTTAACAGCGTTGCCACCACCTTAAGAATCACTTTGAAAGAATAAATTAGTTACGTAACATATTTTAACAACATTAAAAAAAAAGGTGCTGAGAGCAACTAATGTGAGTAGTAACTGAAACTCATATATATTTGCAATTCAATAATGAATTGTTCTCACTTCCTGAACCATTTCAAAAAACTTCCACAATGACTAGGCAATATACTTATCATAAAAACACAATATATTGTCCTTACTTGGATTCTGAATTTTCACTGTAGAATCTGGCTCTGGATGTGGTTTATGAACAACTTGAGTGCATACTTGTTCAGTCAAAATCTAAAACAGAGAATATTAATTTCATTTTACCATATTTAATTTAATGCCATAGCATTTCTTTGTTTATTTTTAAATTTTTTAAGAAGAACATTTACCATGGCCACATGAAATATTTTGGTAAAATATTTTTATTCTTGAAGAATGGAAATGAGCAATTCCTCTATGTGAGGAGCAAGATTTCCATGGACGTACCACGACTGGCTAACAAATTTTTCAGTTAGCTAACTAAATATACAATAATGGTGTTTTAAAGATATTCCGTTCATATTCTTTATAGTGTTATACATTCACAGATCAAAAATTCTTTCATGAGTACCACGCATCAAAAGCTATTCTCATATATTCCATCCATAACCAAACTAAGTATTTCTTAAAAGTGGGTTTGGTTTTCCCCAGCTAGGACAGAGGAACAGTCACAGACAGCGTTCCATAGGAATAATTTTGGGACTTCACACAATGGGCCAGACAGATCATTCTCCTGTTTCTTGCATTGTACCTGACAAACTAAATAGTCTGTATTGAGGCAACACCACAGACTTTTCACAATGGGATACCTGTCACTCGTTCTATGCATGCAACTTTATCTTTAAGAACAAGTTAAAAATTTAATAATAATAATGTGGGTCTCCCAATGAGTACATTCAAGCAAGTGTATTTCAAAATACAATCATTTCACTAGTAATTCTTATTTCTTTTAAAGCAGAGCTGTAGCTCATCCATTAATCAACAATCAAACTAATGTCAGTTGTAAACATGTATCTTCTAATGGGTCTTTACATATTGGCATTTAAAACAGAATGCAAATATTTGCTTAGCTTTTTATGAGAGCACATGGAAAATATCTGCACCAGTTCCTTGGCAAATCTGTTGTATTTCTGACACTTCACTCCTTTTTCTCCTCCTCCGGATGTTTTTTCAAATGTAAATGGCTGTGGATACTGGACTCCATATGGATTTTAATTTTGTCACTGTTATGTATTTTCTGAACATATCAATCACAGAAGCTCTCAGAAATCTGCATGCAGGGACATCTAGACTGTGAGACCCAAGTGGTCAAACCACACAGGGTAAGCTTAGATATGTGCAATATGAAAAAAAATTGATGTCTGAGTAAGTTGCTGGCAAATAGATAATGTTCAGGTTTTTACAATCATAGGAGAATGTTTTCTACGTTACTCAGATTCAGAGTCCTAAATATTAAGCACTCTTTTTGTCTTCCATGTCTTTTCGAGAACCAATAGGGGAAAAAAAAGAAAATCTTTCTAGTGCATAAGATCCTCAGAAATTGCAATAGGTTGAATTCTAAGTCACCATTTTAAAAATAATTAAAGACTGGACATGATCTTTATGCCTTTGCAAGTATGAGGACATGGGTTTTGACCAACTTGATGTTGACAATATTTTGCTTTAACAAATTTCCTCATCATCAAAACCAAAGTTTCTACAAGAGCCTAGTAGAATAGCTGAAAGCTTCAAGGTCATATTCACTCACCTCAAGCAGTATTTGTTACATAAAAGTAGCTGTGTTCAGTTATTATTTTGGCATACTCTCAGCATTAGCAGTTGAAAAAGAAAAATAGGACTTCTCAAAATTTTGTAAACTTGAAAGGAATGGCACAAAAATAAAAAGAAAAGGAAAAACAAAAACAGGCCTCTCTTTGGCCCCAGTACTTTCCATTCCAATGGAAACAAACTCCTCCAAACCATGGAGGACTACAAGCAATTCAGGTCTTAAATAGCAGGATCTTCTCCATCACCCTTTGTAATGTCCTAAGTGAAAAACTTTGTAGGGACAATGTAAAAATTCTGACACTGTTAATAAAAATATGCAAAGCATGGTGAAATACATTCTGAACTAATAAATCTTGTCTTAAAATTTCTATCTAAAATTGTCTCAAAAGTCTTGAGAACTAAAGCATAGAGTCACAACAATATAATTAAGTCATAACTTCTACAACAGAGATGACAATCTCTGTGTTTAATAATTTGTACCTCATAAAGCGTGTTATACGTTGTAACGGTGACCGTATTTGTGTGCAGCATTAACCTTTCTCCAAGAAGAGTGAAAAGACTGTGAGTATGCATGATTTCAACCTTTCGCCTGTAAGAGAAAATGAAAATATTAGGAAAACGCCACACTTTGAGCATTTCAGGTAAATGCAAAAAACCCCAAATCTAAATATTTTTATGTTGTATTAATAAATTCTGAAGCTGTTTATTCTGTAAATATTATGAATTAAATGTCATTTAAGATCTTTCCCAGTATGAACACAATTATAGTAATACACAAAGGTTCTCAAAAAGCAATGCGGCATTTGGGATGGGCTTTTGTATAAAGCGAATGACACACCATTCTCGCCCCCATGATTTTCACAGTGGAAAAAGAAAAAAGGATCCCTTTGTATCTTACTCGGGCTGAGAGCGTTCAAGATGTTGACAGGTTGGTTAAAATGTGACCCCTGCAGAACATAACTTTTGTTGCTCTCTCAGGGTCTCAGGACAATCTAGCCTCAGATCTTCCAGAATAAATACTAACACATACGGATTTGTCAGTACTGCTATTCTCTTTATATAGCATTCTCCCATGAAGCCAAAATAATTAAATCCTGGAATAACATACGTTTCAATGCAAAGGAAATACAATCCTGGAAAGTTATGAAATTCCAAGTGATCGAGGTGAATTTTATAACTAGGATCAAGAACTACTCAAAAAGTGGAGAAGAAAGCAGCTCACATAAATGAATTCCATCTGTCCCAAACCACTATTTTTTTTATAATTGGATATAATAATTAAAGAGTAAATCACATCATTAAATTTATCTACTTCTGTAGTAAATATGAAATAAAAAACATTATTCAACATAATCAATAATCTGTTAAAGCAGCAGAAAAATATAAAATAAAACTCTGTACAGTTTCCATAAAATTTTATGCATTTATAAGTTAAGAAACTCCTTTTTCATGATTACTTGTGATAATAACACAAGTTTAAATTATATAGACTCATTCCAGAACTTTTGAAATGAATACATTATAATTTTCAGATAACTACAAAAGAGAGAGACAACAACTTAGAGTGTACTCTTCTGTGCATAGAAGAGAGTTCATGAGTTTTTATGAGAAAAACTAGAAGTATGCAACATTGTGAGCTATGATGTAGCACGTGAAAGTGAAAATTAGTTTAAATGTGCAGATCAAAACCAAAAGTAAATAACAGAGCATGATTTCAGCAGTGGCATAGAAAGAATCAAGGATGGCAGAGAAGGAAAAGAACAGGATTTTGCACACTTGTTAAGGTTAGACAAAGTAGTCTATCATCACAGATCACATATGCTCTTACCTAACACATTACTGGTCACTTCTAAGAATCAGTTACCTCCACTCTATAGCTAAATCTATGATGAATACATATGAACTAAAGCAATGGTAACTGGTTTAGTACCTGCGCACTTGTTATTAATAAGGTACTGGTTCAGATTTCATAAATCACATTGTAACAGTTCTTTATGCAATTCTGCTTTATTTAAGTGCTTTATAGTTTTATGTAGCTTATAATTTTATAATTGCTTAGAATTTCCTGTAGTTGACTACAATTTTCTAAAATCATGCATATGCAAACATACGTATGTGCACAAATAGGCACATCTCACAAGCGCTAGCTGTAAGATATGAAAATGGGGGGGGGCATTTTACACAAAATGTGAACATTTACAGATGTTCGGAGGTCTGAAAAATAAAAAAAACCCTTAAAGTTACATAGAATATTCAAGTGGATTTCAATGACTTCAATTACATAAAAGATAAAGTTATTTAATTTTGTGCTAAGTATTTACTTTCACTCAACAATGGAAACTACACTGATACATCCATACTTAGAGGTAGATGCTAAGGATCAGGAAATGAAATTTCAGCTTCTGAAAAATCTCACTTTTCTTTTTCTGTAATGTTCCACTGACAGAGTTTGCTACACAATTTACTGGATAAGCAATAAATACTTTAAATAAATGTACTTATTTGGGCACAACCAGGCTTCTGCACAAGCCAAACTTGCATCTGATGTATCTTACTTAATCCAACTCCTATCAACGTGAATGATTTTTAGTAAGTAATGTTTGAAGAGCCCTTGGAGATTCTTGAGTGGACTATCAATTTGCTTTATTAATTCCCAGAACACTGTTTGGCTTGCTGGATCCCAAAAGAAAAATGCCATTTGGGAGCATATTCTTAGCTAACTGTCTTTCAATTATACAGTCATACTTTATTGATCTTACTGAGAAAAGCATGTCTAGCAATACAGCACTCTGGCTGGACTCCGAGCTCCTTTCTCTTTTAAGGAGGTTTTACATGATGAAGTCTCCTGTGAAGCACACAGTTAATTTTCATACTGCACAGTCTCCCACTGGAATATTGTTGTGGGTAGCCCCAGCAGACAGTTAAGCATCAACGTAGTCTGGGAAAAGTGCACAGCAGCAGATTATACAGCCATGTACGCTTTTTAATTCTTTCTTAACACCAAAATATGGAAGATGAGACTAAGTATGTGCATTTCGTGACACTAGTACTTTTTCAATGTGAATATTTCTTGCTGCCACATTTTATAGGTGATTATTTCTTGCACAGAGGTATGTCCTTACCTTCTTTTTTTATCATCATTTACTTACTTTGTTGGCTTTTCCTTCCGAAACTTTCCCATGTGAATAACATATTCTTCTATTTCATTTTTCCCATCATTTTAAAGCTATTTTTAAAAGTACTGCCCTGAAACTTTATTGCAGTGACACTGAAAATTCCCGCAACCAACTTTTGATGACACTCATATATTTCCTACTATCCTAAGCTGAGTATGCAACAAACATTTATAAGATGTATTTTTAAAAAACGTTTTTCAGTCGTTTTAAGACTTGAATTTCAGTATATCATATATTTGGCAGACAATCACTTATGTTTTCAAACGTCATACTAGCAACATGTTAACTGGAAAATTAATTTTATCCTAATGTATAAAGGTGAAAATTATTAATCAGAAAAACTAACAATTTTAATTTAAGTAATTTCTATAGTTTGTTAAAGAATACACAGTAATCATGACAAAAGATAAGAAGAACCGTGAACTTACACCACTGTAGCAATTTTAAAACTACACTTACTTATGACCCAAGTGTTTAAGAAAATATCCAAGGACCTTCAAAGCTTGCACCCATATACTTTCACTTTTGGAAGCCAATAATTTATAAATTACTCTAAAAAAGAAAAAAGAAATTCAAAAAGTTTTTTCAGTTTATTACTAAACATCACATATGTAGATTGCATTTCACTGAACAGGAATATTTCTTAATAAATAAAACTATTAAAAAAAGCAATTTACACAAAATGGAAGGATATACTGAAAACACCAAGCACAGTTTAAGAGTTTGATTATTAATTCTTTAGGTTAAGAGACTTGGTGTCTTTTGGTTCAGTTCAATGTTTAATAACACAAAGTGACAACTTCTTCTCATACTTCTACCCTGGAACAATCAGGCAAAAGACAGTTTGAGCAGTTGAAGCTTAAGACAAGAGAAGCAGACTGGAGCACATAAGGTCACATCTTGGAGTTTCTTGGAGTACCTGGAGGCTACTGAAAATCTTTAATTCTTAAAAACCCTATTCGATATCCTTTCTACACAGGATAGGGTACCTGCATTTAATCATAAAATGTTTATACTGAGATCTCATCCCATATACACCTATGAAGTCGCACCACTATTGCATCAAAATTTGAAGCAGAAAAAAAACACACTCTGTTTTTAAATCCTTGATTAAAAAGGCCTCACAATTTAACTAATTTAATTTAGTTAAATTTTAACTTAGTTAATGAATATGATTGGTTTAAGCACAAATTCTACAGTCTTTCAAAAAGGAAACCAGTCTTGTTTTGAAGACACCAAGAGACAGGAAACATTATCCTTCCCTAGACTATTCTTCAACAAATTTTTAAATTTGTATTTTAGTTTCCCATTTGAATTAGCTGAGCTTCAGCTTTTAGCCATTCTTTTTAGTCTTTCTCCATTAAAGAGCACTTTAGCAGACAATATCTTCCTCTTTTGAAAGGACTTGCACCATTATCAAATGAACTCTGAGGCTTTTGCGATCTGATAACCTTAAATGTTTTAATTCTATGCAATTCTCATTTTTTCAACATAGACTTTTAAACACAGAGACTGCACTGATCAAACAGTTCTGATATTGGTACCACAAATGTTACACAAAGATGTCTTCAATTCTCTAAATCAGTCTTACCCTTCTTCAAAAAGGAATAGGATTCTGTCTGAATACAGACAACTATAGGCAGAAAACAAAGTCCTAACTGTGAGCACAATGAGTCTTCTCTTCAACTAGCATTGTCATTCAAATAGTTTTAAATACAAAGATCTTAGTAATTTGGCAAAACAAAGCTTGAATTTAGCAGATAGCAGATTTTTTTTCCCCCTCCTCTGTTTTACAAGCTCCTTGCATTTTCCAAAGTATTTTCAGAATGGCACAAAATAAAATTATATAGCAAATATTAAATTATTAATATGGAAATTATTAATCTCTGAAAAAAATGCATTACCAAATTAGGCATAAGATAACAACAAAAATACTGTTTTTCTGGGAATTATCAGTTATTAATTTTACTGTCAAACTGATAAACATATGAATTCCACAGATATCTTTTTCATCTTTTCAGAGAGAATTTGAGAGGTTAGGGCATGATTTCTCTTGTTTTCTCCTTCTTCCCTCTAGATCATGTTAAATATCTGAAGAAAGAATATTCAAAATTATTCTGAGATAGGTACTTGGCATTTTGATGCACCTTTTTAATTACACATTCTATTTGAGATTGAGAAGCAAGTACAACAGTACATTTACCTCCAAATATCATAATGATAAACTTAAGCAGAAAATTTTTCCTCCAAGCTATCAAAACCACTCTGTTTTTGACAAAAAATATAGCCTAAGTTAAAAATTGTAGATTGAAAGATCAGGAAGTGTAACATTTATGTGAAAAAGAAGCAATCTGGAGAGTGATGATACCAGAACTACTTGTAAGATATTTTCTCACTTCGCTGTCTTACCGTATCCCATTTCTCTGATCAAAGGCAGGTATCATGGATGCTGGATGTTCGGACATTAGTGCCACTAGCAGCTGCAGCACATCATGAATATTTTCATCCTGCATGACAAGCATCAATGTTATTCTACAAACTAACCTCAACAAGAGGCTACTCATAGAGCTGGTAAAATTGGTTACAGTGAGAGACAGATAATTACAGAAATGTACCTCATGCATTGTTAATAAGTAATTTAATATACTTTGCAGTTCATCTTCTTTCACTCCTCGATCCTGAAAAAAAAAAAAAAAAGGAAGGGCGTTATTCAGAGAAAATACATTCAAGTCTGGCGCAAGAAAAACTTGGACCAAGCCACTAAATTCTACAATTTTTTTTTCTATTTAAACTCAAAACATTAAATTCTGTCTTTCATTCCATTGCTTTTCCTTCTCACATTGACAATTCAAAACAGCATGAAGTCAGCCTTCCATTCC